CTAAACCCTTGAGCCCTTCAACCCGAGTCACCCCCAAACTTGAGTGCTCTAGGTTTCAGTGTAGGGTTTTAGGTTTAGGGTGTATAGAGTTTAGGGTTTAGAGTATCTAGTGTTTTAGGGTTCTTCGGGTTTTGAGGCTTCTAGGGTTTTGAGGGATTAGGGTTGCGATTCTTAGAGCGCTCAGGGCTTTTAGGGCGCTTAGGGCCTAAACGCTATACCCTATACCCTAAACCCTAAACCTGAACCCCAAACCCTAAACCCTAAACCCTAAACCCTAAACCCTAAACCCTAAACCCTAAACCCTAAACCCTAAACGGCCGAGGAGCCTTTGGCTCCTCGACCTTCACAAAGTCGCCGATCATCTGGCGGATGGGTTTTGGAGGCATCCGGGGGTGTTTCGGGTGTTTGGAGTGCTCCCAAGCCCTAAACCCTAAACCCTAAACCCTAAACCCTAAACCCTAAACCCTAAACCGGTTTTTGTGGGGGAGGGCTTCATTGAGATTATGAAGGCTTCAGGCCCAGGGGAGCTTCAGGGAGTTTCTGTTTTGATGAAACATGTCAAAGTTCGGGGCTGCTTTGCGGGGTGTGTAAGGTTTGGGGTTTGGAGTTTAGGGTTCAGGGTTTAGGAATATAGGGTTTAGCGTTGAGGGTTTAGGGTTTAGGGTATAGGGTTTAGGGTTTAGGGTTTAGGGTTTAGGGTTTAGGGTTTAGGGTTTGGAGTTTGGGGTTGCTGAGGTTGTTTGGGAGTCGGGGTGTGGGGGGGGGTGGGGGGGTATTGCATTCGGTGGGCCCGCCCCTCAACCCCCCCCCCCCCAAAAAAAAAAAAAAAAAACATCGAGAACCCTAAAGCTCCAAACAAACCCAAAATAGCCCAAATTTCGAGAAGTGACTCTGACAGGCTCTTCCCTTCTTTTGGGCGGGTCGGACTGGGCATTTGGCGCTGGAGGGCTGTCGAGGCGTGGGGGTTTGGAGTTTGAGGTGTTGAAGGTCATGGGTACGTATTCGTAACGTAGGGTTATAAGAAACTACCCTAAACCCTAAACCCTAAACCCTAAACCCTGTTATGACCAGAATCACCCGACTCATCATCCAGCCCAGTAACCAAAACAACCCTAAAACCCTGGAACCCTGGAACCCTAAACCCCAAACCCACATAGAAACGTGCTAGAACCCAAGCCTCCAGACCCGGAGAGAAGGAAGTTGAGAGCCACATGGGTGCTGGGTTTTAAATAGGGTTTAGGGTTCGGGTTTAGGGTCTAGTGGTTGGGGGTTAGGGCCTATTGGGTTTGTTGCATTCTTTGAAGGCTCATGGGTAGCAAGCATCACTGAAGTAGCCGTGCAGGCAGGGGTCACATTTCAAGCAGTTGTGAAGTTAAGGCTTTCGGTATTGCGTCTAGGACATGATTCTGACCCTAAACCCTAGCCCCTAAACCCTAAACCCTAAACCCTAAACCCTAAACCCTAGGGACCTTTCCGGAGTTGCCGCCGGAATTAAGGCTCGCCGAGGATGGGATGTTCTTCGTCCGGCGCGGGTCGTCAATGGCATATTCTTCCTGACCTGATTCGGATCTAGGGTGTAGGGTTTAGGGTTTAGGGCTTAGGGTTTAGGATTTCGGGCCTGGGGTTTGGGGTTTAGAGTTTAGGGTCAAACCCTGAACCCTAAACCCTATTCGGTTTTCGGGTCTGGGGTTTGGGGTTTGGGGTTTAGGGTGACAAACCCTACACCCTAAACCCCAGGCTCTCACCATCCCCCACGCCCATACACCCATAAAACCCAATTAAACCCTGAAGTGGTGGTTCCTCATTGGGTCCTCATCAGGGAATCCTACTCTCTGGGGTGGTCCCCTTCTTGGGGGCTGAATACCCTAGCCCTAAAAATGGCCAACCTCTTACACATAGTAGGACTCGACATATCCAAAATGGTGAAAGGCTTCCTACCCAGTCCCTCAGCTTTATAGGTACCCGAAGTGAGAGGGGCCGCACTGAGCGCAAGGAACCCCAAAAGGGACTGCATTTCTTCGACATTCGACTCCCCTTATCCTGCCTTCTCCTTATCCCTAAACCCTCAACTCCGTGAGCCTCTGTTAGAGAATCACTGAAAGGCTTCCAAGGGAACCTAAACGCAGATGTTGCTGGGCTCTTTGGGAAGTCGGGATTGCCATTAGGGTTTAGGGTTTAACCCTAAACCCTGGAAAGTTATAGTGACTCTCAGCATGGGGTGTTCTGCCAGCCCCGTCTTCCCGCCTGTGAGCAACACCCTGAACCCTAGACCCTAGACCCTAGGACTTCAGGGTTTAGGGTTTAGGGTTTCGGGCCTGGGCCCATGGGGCTGCGCAAGTCTCCACCTAACTATACTCCCCTTAGAACCTTAGTACAAAATATTACCCCACGCCCTTTGGACCTTAAGCAAAAACTGCGTTTTATATTCGCTTGGGCTTTATACTGGTAGCAATGAAAAAACAGAAGCTGTAAATTTCCCAAAGGGGGCTATAGCTTAAACCCCCATGGCAAAACAAGCAGTGCACGGCGAGTCGCGCATCTTGACGGAGCTGCGCGCGGAGCTGTGCATGGCTTGCTGAGTGGATGTACTTCTTGGGATGTCCCCCTCTTCGAACAGTCCTTAAAGGGTTAGGGGTTTAGGGTTTAGGGTTTAGGGTTTAGGGTTGGGGGTACTATAATCCTCTTGACCCACAAATGGTAGGGTTTCCTTGTCGTAGGGACCCCAATAAGGTACCCCTTAATTTCGGAAACCCCTTCTATTTCCCTTGTGGGCTTTTTCCTATAGAGCCCCGAATGAACCCCTAGAAAAAACTGGAGGGACCTCAATACCTCAATGGGCTTCGGGTTTCGAGGATTGAGGGATGAGAGCTATATCGGGTATAACTTCGACGTCTCGAGGTCCTACCTTAATGGGAGAAATTGGGGTGCTGCGTTCGGTAGCGCAATGCCCTTGTTCGGCCAAGCCCAAAGAACTCCATGCATTTCCATGTCGGAGTCCGACGTTCCGAATCCTGCTGCGGCTGCTGAGCCTTTCGTCGGAAAGTCTGAATCCCAAAGCCTGAACCCCAAACTCTGAAACCCTAAACCCTGAACCCCAAACTCTACAACCCTAAGCCCTAAACCCTAAACCCTAATCTGAACCCATGGTCGTGAGTCTCGAGAGCTTTACACTTTCCTTTTTGTTTCTGGCGCAGCCGCGCAGCCGACGTGATCAGAGCTCTAGGGTCGGGACTTGAGGGTAATATAAGGCCCTTCATTATTTGGAATAGGGTTTTTTGGGGGATATTGTAGTATAACTATACGGGGGACAAGAAGGGAATTCGATTAGTAATTTATTCCGACCCCCAAAAAAGGATAGGGTTCAAAGCTTCGGGGTTCGGGTGTAGGGTTTGGTGAGGATTTCGGGTTTGCCATCTAGGGCTCAGGGTTCATTAGAGGTTGCTCAACCTAAGACCTAAACTCCAGGAATTTCATCGACAGGCTTGGCAGGAAGACGCTTCCCCCGAAGCCTAAAAGCCTGGAAGACTCAACCCAAAACCCTAAGCCCTAAAAAAACAAACTCTTATGAAAGGGAAACTCGCAAAGTGAAACTGTCTAGGACTAGTGTGACACTCGGGGCCTTGCGGATTAGGTTTGGGGTTTAGGGTTTAGGGTTTAGGGCTTAGGGTTTAGGGTTTAGGGTTTAGGGTTTAGGGTTTAGGGTTTAGGGCTTAGGGTTTAGGTTTTAGGGTTTAGTTGCGCGAAGTACAATTAGGGATTGTAAGGGATACTGCGGGCAGCTTCATAGGCTGCTGATTTTGTACTGCGAGGCGCAGGCCTCCTGTGAGCCCTAAACCCTGAAGCCTAAAACCCTGTAGGGTTTAGGGTTTAGGGTTTAGGGTTTAGGGTTTAGGGTTTAGGGTTTAGGGTTTAGGGTTTAGGGTTTAGGGGTTAGGGGTTTAGGGTTTAGGTAGCACTTCTAGACCCGGGAGTAACCTAGGAAGAAAAAGGGTACCCTTTTTGGTTTTGAGGGGATTATAAGGGAACCCCCAAACCCTAAAAAAAGGAAAAAAGGGCCTACACCCGGTCCTAGGCTTGGGGGCTTACAAATCCTATATGAAGTAGGGTATATATTTCTTGTACCCCCAAAAGGACACCAGGTATATACACTCACCAATATGAAAAAGGAACCTTATATACACTCACCAAGAACAGAAATATAAACCCTGTGTCATATGCCTCGCTTTCTCTCTCGCGCTTCGCATCTTCGCCTTTGTGTGCCGTAAGCGGCACAGTCGATGCAACTCTTTCTCGCGAGCACTGCAAGCCGCCCACCCAACAGAAGAAATGAGTCAGGGCCCTAAACCCCAAACCCCGAACCCTAAACACTAACCCCAAAACTTGAACCACTTAGGGTTTTGGGCCTAATATGGGTTTAGTGGAGCATGGGGATTTGCAAGTTCCTTGTGCCTCGACCACAAAATGGCTAATAGAAAGTCATTTCACAAGACTGTAATTGATGCTACAATTGTTTTATAAACTGTAAGGAGAGATCGTTGCAACTATCCAGGATCCTTTGCGACAGCCTCCCAAGCCCAAATCCCAAGGACCACACCAAAACGTGACAGGAAATTAAGCCGGCGGAAGGACAAAAGCTCCAAAGCCCGCACCGGAAACCCCAAACCCTTAGCTCCCTGTCCCTCCCAGCACCAAAAACAACAAAGAATGGTTTGGGGATAAGGTTTCAGGCTTTGTCGGGTTTATTGGCGTTTTTTTGGGTTAGGGCTTCTAGAGCTTCGAGGCTTTGAAGATTTGTTCTAGGCTTTCTAGGGCTTCTAGGATTCCTAGGGTTCAAGAGCAAAGTCTCCCATGTAACTCTGTATCCTACACCCTAAACCCTAAACCCTAAACCCTAAACCCTAAACCCTAAACCCTATACCCTAAACCCCAAACCCTAAATTGTAGTAAGTGGGTGTAGAAACGATCAGGGACCAAACGTCCCCCCCTGGCACATCCCGAAGTCACTCGGGAGCCGGGGCATGTTCGACGTTGTAGTGGGACAGGTAGGAGAGAACAACCTGAAACTTCCCAGGTTTAGGGCTTTAAGGTTTAGGGCTTAGGGCGCAAAGAACTCCACCCCCAAAAAAGCTGCATGATTAAAGACTGTAGGGTTGTAGGGTTGTAGGGTTGTAGGCAAGTGCACCTCAAACTCTGGTTGGTTCTTCGTCTCCTCTTGCGTCCATGCTTTAAAGTTTAAAGGGGGGGGGGGGGGTTAGGGTGTAGGGTTTAGGGTTTAGGGTTTAGAGCCTTCAAAACCCTTAACACCCTAACCCCAAACTCCGGCCTCGGAACCCTGAACCCTAAACCCCCCAAAAATCGTAAACCCTAAACCCCATAAACTTCAAACCCTAAACCCTAAACCCCATAAACTTCAAGCCCTAAACCCCAAAGTTTCAGAGTTTCCCTAGACCCTAGACCCTATAAACTCTAAACCCTAAACCCTTTAAACTCGACACTCTGAATCTTCAGAGCTTCCAAGATCTTTAGGTGCCTCTGCAGCCCAGAAACTCGAAACCCTGGACCCTAAACCCTAAACCCTAAACCCTAAACCCTAAACTTTCAGGGTTTCCAAAACCTTGAGGTTGCCTTCTGCGGCCCCAAGCACCAGCCACACGAAGGAGACGCAGGCGACCACGGCAATGCGGAGCTCCGGCGGGGTCACGGTGAAGTTGAAGAGGTGGAATCTCGGGTTTAGGGTTTAGGGTTTAGGGTTTAGGAATTAGGGTTTAGGGTTTAGGGTTTAGGGTATAGCAACAGGAGGATCCGGAAAAAAAAGGAAGAGGACTAAGCGAGAGGCAACACTCAGCCCAATCAACCCCGACCTCTAAGGGCTTCAGACCCTCAGCTCCCTACTGTCCCTAAACTCCCCCAGACTCCCTGAAGCCCTCAAACTCAACCCCAAACCCCAAACCCCAAACCCCAAACCCTAAACCCTAAACCCTAAACCCGAAACCCACTCAGGCACAGACATTGGGAAGATCTTGCAGTAGGCCATCATGGTATCTGGCAACTCTGCACGCCACCTCCTCAACCCACTGGCCTGGGCTCGGAAGCATAGGTTTAGGGTTTAGGGTTTAGGGTTTAGGGTTTAGGGTTAGGGTTGCGGGTTTATTTTTTAATTTTCATATTTTTTTGGGGGGGGTGGGGCGTTAGGGCTGTGTAGATGTCCAGGAGTTCACGTGCTTCTCGACTTCGGCTTCTTTGGGGCTGCAGGGTTTAGGGCTCCTCCACCTCCCCAACTCCCAACTCCCATCTCCCAAACCCCAAACCCTCAACCCTGAACCCTAAACCCTAAACCCTAAACCCTCAACCCTGAACCCTGAACCCTAAACCCTAAACCCTAAACCCTAGGATTTAGGGTTTATATGTAAAGCCCCTCCCGCAAGTCCCTGTTAACACCTCGGCCGGGTAGCTGGGTTGCCGATGCCGAGGGCCGTGTCCTCGAACATGTAGTAGAGTGGAAGATAAAGGAAGGGCACCTCGAGTAGGGTTTAGGTTTAGGGCTGAGGGTTTCGGGTTTCGGGCTTAGGGTTTAAAGGATTTAGGAATTACAGGGCTTACAGGGCTTTACAGGTTCAGGGCCGAAGCGGGCAACCTACCGGTTACCGCCAGGGTCTCTCAAGCTTCCTGAGATCTTATCCGGCAGCTCCAAACCCCAGTTCCTGTAGGATCCCTAAAACCTAAACCCGAAACCCTAAACCCTAAACCCGAAACCCTAAACCTGGGGAGGGCGCGTGGACGAAGAGATCTGCCAGGACTTTTTGCACACCCACGCGGAGTTCCATACCGGGGCCAAAGAGCCTGCCCGGCATATGAAGCTTTAGGGTTTAGGGTTTAGGGTTTGGGGTTCTTTCTTGGAGGTTCAATGTACTGAAAACGCCAATGCTGACTGTACTTATCAGCCCCTGAGTCCTCGATGTAGGTTCTAAGTAGACTAAAACTTGGGGGCTATAAGCACCCGTGAACCTCCAAGTAGTAGGTAATGAAGGAACTAGGCACCTTACATCCCCCCACATACCCCGTAGAAAATGAAGTACCTAATTCCCTCATTCCCTACCCTAGTCGCTGAGTACCCTGGGCCAAAAAAGGGTTAACTTTTCAATTAGGGTAGGAGTGCACAGACCCCAAAAAATGAAAGGTTACCTACTGCGCCTTCTAAGCTGCGAAGAACCAACAGGTGAAAGGTTTTCGGGTTTAGGGCTCGGTTTGGGGTTTAGGGTTTAGGGTTTAGGGTTTAGGGTTTAGGGTTTAGGGTTTAGGGTTTAGGGTTTAGGGTTTAGGGTTTAGGGTTTAGGGTTTGCCTTCCTAAGCCCCAAGTCAAGACGCCGTCGCTGCTGGAAGGCTTCTAGCAAAGGAACAGCTTAAACCACAAGAATATACCCTCTATATGATTGCAACAATCTGTGGTCTGCGGATCTAAAGTGGAAAGTGGGCATTGTTGAAACTATTTTCTCTTCAGCCGGAGGTGTCTAGGTAGCCCAGGACCCAAGAACAAAAGGGTTTAGTCCCAAGACCCCTGCAGGTGTTGGGTCTTGGGTTGAGGTTTTCGGGGTCGTGGGCTTTCGGGCTTCTTAGGCTTGTATGGTTGTATCGGATGGGGCTTTCGGGTTTCGACGTTCTGCCGTGGCGCAACAGTTCCTCGAAACCATCCGCCACCCCGAAAACAAGTTGTATCAGGCCTGGTAAATGCGACGTTGTAGACAAAGTGCTGCCCAATGCCGAGGTATGCCTGAGCGGGGCTTCCGCAGCATGACGCTTCTACGTCAGGCTCGGAAGGCGACCGCATGCTTTTGCAGGAGGGTTTTCGGTGGCTATAATCCCCATACTCAACCCTGCAAGGGGCCTTTTTAAGGGCTCTAGGGCATAATAGCCCATGCTGGGTAGTCTTCTCCTGGGACACTGTCATGACCCCGCTTGGTCAGTTGTCCATTGTCAGGGGGCTTTAGGGTTTAGGGTTTAATTAGGGTTTAGGGGCATGCGCGCCTGAGGCTGTGTACGCTTGCGCCTGAGTGGCTTCCTTTCACACATACCCTGTCCGGTCTCCGAGATCGAAATGGTAGTTGCTCAGCATCATGGGTTACCAAAGAACCGGCTCCGGTTTTTTTTGCCCCATCCTCAAAAAGTGCCATCATTCCTTTAGAACCACCCCCCTGAGCCCCCCCCCCCCCGCCAATAAAACAAAACTCGATAAGAATAACAATAACCGTAAAATAGTAACAAGACAATAAATTAATCCATAAATCCCAAAAGCTCTGGACTCGAGCAAGCCACACCGCTGAAGAAGGCGAACGCGGAGTTTCGCGTCAAGCTCATCTCTTCTTTCCTTGGGGAGTCGATCTGAGCCAGCAAGCAAAGGACATGAAAGACATGCCGATATACATATACGTACATTGTATATATATATATACGTACACACACATAAAGGGAATATTTGTCATTGACCCGACAACTTTGCTGAGCTCCCACCGTTCCCCGCTTTAAACACCTTACGCCCTCAATCCTAATCCGACCCCTCGAGCGAGGCGCTGTTCCACGACTTTCTGGGCAATGGAGTCGGACGCCGAGCCCTGCAAGGGAATGGGACTTGATCTCAAGAATGTGGGCTTAGGGTTTAGGGTTTAGGGTCTAGGGTTTAGGGTTTAGGGTGTTGTTGCGTGAAGCAGCAAAGATTAAGAAGGCGCGGACCCTGAACCCTATAATACCCTGAAAACCCTCTAAACCCTTTTAACCCGACAAAGCCCTATAAGGCCTTGTAAGCAAGCCCCATAAACCCTCTAAAACCATCTTCCTAAACCCTCTCAACCGGCCTTGGCAAAGCAGGTGGCGAAGGCCACCGCCAGGGGCTGCGCTTTCGACGCGCTCCGATACCTCCCGGGCGGCTCGGGGGGCCGGCTACTGAAAACCCCTTGAAAAATGTGACGGAATATGGGGGGTAGACGAAAACAGGGGACCCCCAAACATAGACCCGCAAGATAGTAGGATCCTCTTATAATCAGGACCCCAACAGGTACCACTGATGTCGTAAACCCCGATATGAGCCTCTTAAATCCAAGAAAGGGAAAAATATGAAATATCCGAATGGCCTACCTAGCCGGGATTCCGGGTCTGCTTGTCTCGTTCTTGTTAGGAGGTCTTAGGGTCTTAGGGTGTAAGGGTGTAAGGGTGTGTTAGAGTTTATTGGTTTAATACATGAAGAGTGGATACTGCTCCACAGCCTGATTTTTTACTTCTAAAATAGCCAAGGGCAAAGAAAGCTTAAACTTTAGTATTCCTACCGAATAAGGAAACCCAAAAAGTTTAAAGTTCAACTAAAGGCGAAGTAAGGATTAGGGTGTATGAGCATTTTTCCGAGGCGGACTTCGAAGTTTTAGGGGCTTATGGGCCTCCATGGGCAGTGGGCGGAACGGCAGCACCCTGAACCGCCCAACAAGGCCTTTCCCCAAAACTCCTAAACCCGAACCCTCAGCCCCTCAAGCCTAAACCCTAAACCTTAAACCCTGAAGCGCCTAAACCCCCGAAACGCCTTTGTAGGAGCTGCGACAGCATGGACATCCGGCGCAGGTGAGGCGGCCGCAGGGACTCTCTTGTTGGAATGTGGGGGTTTTGGATGACCTTCGGAGTAGCGGTGCCACCCTTATGAACTCAATAGGGTTTAGGGCCTAGGTTCCGTAACAGGGCATCGGGTTTAGGGTTTAGGGCAGAGGGTCCCTAACCCCACACCCAAACACCCAGTTTTCTCTTTTTAAAGGCTACAGCTGAGGTTGAGCTCAGGGCCACACCCTCCAACGGGGCCCAAGCCACGGTGGCTGCGCGTGGGGTCAAGTCAACTACTGAAAGATCGAGAGAGAAAGAGAGAGAGAGAGAGATACATACATATATATATATACATGAACATGTATAATACAGCCCAAAAACCATATGAGTACGACAAAACAACGACATGAGGGCCGCTTTGGGGCTCCACTTGAAGATTCATGGGCCCTTATAAGTAGGGTTAGAAGTACCCCAGATATGAACCATAGGGACCCTACTTCTAATCCTAGATGCAAGTACCCGTGAACCTCCGAGTAGGGACTTTCTAATGGCATTGGAGAAACTCTCGGCGGGCCGAGAGAAGGAGGTATCATGGCCCCCTCATCAGTGGGTTTCGGAACTCTAGGCTGGAGGACTTCGCAACTTTTAGGGTTTCGGAACGTCGCAACTTCTCAAGTCCCCTAAACCCTAATCCCTAATCCCTTACCTTAAACCCTAAACCCTAAACCCTAAACCCTAAACCCTAAACCCTAAACCCTAAACCCTAAACCCTAAACCCTAAACCCTAAACCCTAACCCTAAACCCTACACCGGGATGGGCGGAATCATTGTGCTCGGCCGAGCTTGGAAGGTGCAGCTTCCGCTTGAGGACCTACTTGTGGCCTATACAAATTGGGAACGTCTGCCCCTAAATGTTTCTGCAAACACTAAACCCTAAACCCTAAACCCTAAACCCTAAACCCTAAACCCTAAACCCTAAACCCTTACAACCTCATGGACCAGAAGCCCTTTTAGGGTTGACCCCTTAAGCCCTTAAACCCCCTTGAACCCTACTTCTCCCCCCCCCCCCCTCCCTCCCCAAGTGGCTTTAGGGTTTAGGGTCTAGGGTTTATCACAGCAACGACCTTGCCCATTGGGCCCAGGGCCAGTCGACAGGTGTAGTTCTCCAAGCCGTATCTGAGAGGAAGCATTTTTTGGGTTTGGGGTTTAGGGTTTAGGGTTGAGGGCTGGCGTTTTTGGGGGAGTATTCTAAGTACAGGGTTTAGGGGCCCTTTCGCTGGGGCGCGTGTGGAAGGTCATTCCAAACGTCAATAGGGCAACAAGCAATCAAGACTGTCTGCATGTGGTGCCGGTGCTGGGCTTTAATTCATAGGGAGGCGGACAGGGTGACGGCAGCAGGGACCCTAAACCCTACACCCTACACCCTGTAAACCTATAACCCTAAACCCTAGACCCTAAACCCCAAACCCTAAACCCTAAACCCTAAAACCTTAAACCCTAAACCTATAAAACCTAAACCAAGTGTTGCTAATCTCTCCCATGCTTCTGCACAGTGGGTAGCCCCTGTCCTCTTTCACCGTCCTTCAAGTTGATACGAGAGGGTGTTGTGGTCGGACTTGGGGGTGTGCTATTGCCACTATTTGCTTAAGAAGCCCCCGCCCCTACAAAAAAATGAAGCCGATTGTTCCTGATAAGGGCAGTTCTTTTGGGGGGTTCTTATGCAAATGGTAGAAATAGGCTCCGCCCTCTGATTTGAACCCATGTAGCCAAGGTCAGTGCGCGCACACACACACACACACACACACTCTCACTCCCTGTACCCTAAACCCTAAACCCTAAACCCCAAACCCTAAACCCTAAACCCAAACCCTAAACCCTAAACCCTAGACCCCAAACCCTAAACCCTAAACCCTAAACCCTAGACCCCAAACCCTAGACCCCAAACCCTAAACCCTAAACCCTAAACCCCCAAAAGGGCCCCGGACTCTCCGGGGTCGACCGACGCATCGATCTGCTCGGCGTGTTCTGGGAAGATGGCCTTCTTGAGGGGATCATGTGGGTGCTGATATGTAGGGTTTAGGGTTTAGGGTTTGGGGTTTAGGGTTTAGGGTTTGGGGGTTTAGGTTTTAGGGTTTAGGGTTTGGGGTTTTAGGGGTTTAGGGTTTAGGGTCTTAGGGTTTAGGGTTTTAGGGTTTAGGGCTTCAGGGTTTAGAGTGGCGAAGGGGCTTTTTTCGGGGGGCCTTTAGGGGGTTTAGGGTTTGGCGGGGGGTGGGGGTGGCTTCGCGGGCTTTGCGGGTTTTAGGGGGGCTGTTAGGGGTTTTAGGGAACGGGTGGCTAGGGTGTTGCGGCTTAGGGTCTTGGGGTAAGTTTCGGGTCTTGGGGTTTAGGGCTTACGGGCTATCGCGGGCTCGGGGGGATAAACCCTAAACCCTAAACCCTAAACCCCAAACCCCAAACCCTAAACCCTAAACCCTAAACCCTAAACCCTGAACGTCCGGCCTTCATGCTGTCCCTCACGAAGACGCGGGTGCTCCAGATGGGAAAGGAGTAGAGCCGCGGCGGGGAGTAGACCGTGCCTAAGTCTGGCTGGCTCTTAAGCAGGGTTTAGGGTTTAGGGTTTCGGGTTATATTCAGTCGGGGATGAGGGAATGCGGTACCCTACGTCATCCCTTAGAAAAGGTAGATGAAAAGGGGCCCCTATAGCTAAATCATTCCCTACTAAGAACCAGGGGGGATGTTCGAGGGTTGCTGAGTGGAGCACCCTAAACCCCCTACACCCCCCTAAGCCACCCTAAACCCCCTAGACTTAGACGAAAACACCCCCCTCTCAAACCCCCTAAACCCCCTAGACCCCCTAAATCCCCAAACCCGAAATCCTAGACTCCAAAAAGTGGGCCTAAACCTCCTTCACGCCCCATCCTGAGAGCCGCAATAGATACACGGACTAGCGGCTGAGGCTTGTTGCCTTTGAGGGTTTCTTTGGTGTTTAGGGCTCAGCGAGTAAGGAGCCCAAACCAGTACCAAGATCATCCCCTGATCGGGCCTACAGAACTTCACCATACCAACTACGAGTACGGAAGAGAAACACATACCCTCCTGTTCCAGGACAGTTGCAGGTGTGTGCCTCCTTTTCATTTATATATATATATATGTCTGTATCTATATACATATGATATATAATCTGTACACACATGTATAGGGCTCCTATTGACTATCTAGAGGGTCTTAATCAATCTGGGACAGGACTAGGGTCCAGAGTTCAGGGTTTCGCCCCGGCTCGCCCAAGCTCAGGAGGGTGCCGGATGGACCGATGCAGTTCGGGGCGTCGGGGCATTCCTGCACGGACCGATACGGTGAAACCCAACCGGGCTCACCATTTAGGGTTTAGGGTTTGGGGTTTGGGGTTTGGGGTTTGGGGTTGTGGATATCCGGTACGCGGTGGGAGGTGAAGCCCCTAAAACCCTAAAGCCCCCAAACCACACTCAGGCATCCTGTTCAGCCCCTTTGTAAAACCCTGTCAAAACTCTGGTCAACAACCCTAAGAAAACTCCTTTTAAAGCCCTGTAAACCCCTCAACCCTCAACCCTCAACCCCCAACCCTCAACCCTCAACCCTAAACCCCAAAACAAACAAAGCCCAAAACCCTTAACCACCCTCAGCCGGAGGACTTTCTGGAAGCCCGGTAATCCATATGAGCATATTATTAGACCCAGGGGTAACTTAGGAGAATAAAAAAGGGTACCCTTTTTGGTGTTAAGGGGGTTATACGGGAACCCCAACCATAAAAAGGAAATAAGGGCCTACTGCGGGTCCTAGATGAAGGGTGCCCTTCTTGGTGGCTAGCTGCTTTGTCAAGGAACCCAATCACCGAAAGCAGCAAAAGCGTACCACCGTGCCTCCTCCTCGCAGGGCTATAGGGGCTTCAGCTTCCCGTTGTAGGGAGGATTTTAACTTTCGGGTGTGTTGCTTAGGGTTTTAGGGTCTACTAAACCCTCAACCCTCAACCCTATAAACCCCAAACCCTAAACCCTCACCAGCCCACGCCCATGGCCTTTACGGAAGCTCCAAAGTCGCAGAGATGCATTTGCCTGGGACTCGTTCTCTCCACGGGGGTTTGGGGTTTCCTGGGCTTTTGTGGGTTTAGGGTTTAGGGTTTAAGGGTTGGTTAGGGTTTCGAGCTTGGGGCTTCAGGGTTGTCAGGGCTGTCGCCAAAAAGCGCCACACGAAAAGTCACTGGCTGAGAAAAGAAGGTTTAGGGCTTGTTATACCCTTTAAACCGTAAACCCTAAACCTACGCCCTAAGCCCTAAACCCTAAACCCGAAACCCTAAACCCTAAACCCTAAACCCTAAACCCTAAACCCTAAACCCCAAACCCTAAACCCTAAACCCCAACTAAGTATTTAGGGAGCGGCATCTCAACTCCAACCTGAGGCCCTGGGCCCTGCGAAGGGGTACATGATGAGCTGCTCCTGGAGGGGCGGTTTAGGGTTTAGGGTCTAGGGTCTAGGGTTTAGGGTTTAGGGTTTAGGGTTTAGGGTTTAGGGTTTAGGGTCAAGGGTTTAGGGTTTAGGGTCAAGGGTTTAGGGTCTAGGGTTTAGGGTTTAGGGTTTAGGGTCAAGGGTCTAGGGTTTAGGTTTTAGGGTTTAGGGTTTAGGGTTGGGGGGTTGGGGTTTGGTCATTTTGGGCCAGTTGGGGCACTTGGGGGATGAGGGCTTAGCAGGTGAGCAGGGCATTGCTTGACGGTTCAGACGGGCTGTTATTCAAGCAGGGTTAAACGTACCCTACATAGGGTTAGAACCATCAGATACCCTATTTATAACCCTAAGTGAGAAGTTCCGAATGCACTTCCAAGTTGAGAGGCCTCTAGCATGCCCTGCCAACACTATACAGCCACTTTGTCTTGGGGTATCCTCGGGCTGGGAGAAAGATTTCAGGGAAACCGAAATCGTGAACCCTAAACCCCAAAACCCTAAGGGCCCTAAGCACTGATACCGGGAGCGGAGGTGTCCTCGCCAATCATGGAAAGCAGGAAGCCCTGAACTAGGAGGTTCAGCCTCAGGGCAACCGGGGGCTGGAATTTGATAAAATCCAGGGTTTGGGGGTGTAAGATTTCGGGTTTCGGGTTTCTAGTTTGCGAAAGAGTTTGGGGTGGGGGGGGGGGAAGTTAAGCAGAGAGCCCGCCGGATAGGGGGGTCTATGGTCTGGCTCAGGGGACCAGCTCCGCTCGCTCTCTGCCTCCCTCTCTCTCTCTCTGTCTCTCGCTCGCTCTCTCTCTCTCAGCCTTGCGTTTCCTTGACAGCAAAGGCCACCGCGGGCAGTACAGGCAACGAACCCTGAAGCCTAAACCGGGCGAAAAAAGCCCAAAACCCTAAATTTCCTACATCAAGGGCTTCGAGCATGAGCTTTGAGAGTGCCTCTCTGCTCCCAAAGAAGAGCCCAGGGCCCCCCCCCAATTCTTCGACTAAACCCGAAACCTGAAGCCAGCCACGGAGGGTTCCTGCCTTGGGCCCTAAAGCTGCGACTTTCTGCCCCCCTCTATGACTACAGACCCCGATTCAGGGTTTAGGGTTTAGGGTTTAGGGTTTAGGGTTTAGGGTTTAGGGTCTAGGGGCTTCTTCGGGGAAGGAGGGGGTTCAAGGGGGGGTTATTGAAACCCAGGCTTCCCTAATACTCCCCACTACTCCCCAAGGCTCCCTAAGCCTCCCAAAGGTTCCCTCGGTACCTACCCCCCATGAACCCCCCTCCCTTACGAACCCTACAATATAACATCTGAATATATCGCGCAACAAAGAAAGATAATCCTTCTGCCGGAATCCCCAAAGACGAGAGCCCTTCATAGGGGAGCCACAAAAGGAGGCAAAAACCCTACAAACACCCTCCTAAAACCCCAAAACCATAAACCCTAAACCCTAAACCCTAAACCCTAAACCCCAAGCCCTAAACCCTAAACCGTACACCTTCACTCAGGAAATCCCCCCCCACACTTTTCCCAGGCCCGCGGCACGGTGAAAAAGTAGATTCGGATGGTCAAGCTCGTGAGGGTGGCTGGCCAGCCTGAACCTGGGTTTTAGGGCTTTCGGGATTTTAGGATTTTTAGGGCATTTCGGGCTTTAATTAGGGCTGTTAGGATTAGGGGTTTTAAGGTTTTAGGGTTGAAGGGTTTCGGTGCAGGGTTCTGGGTGGCACTGCTCAGTCAGGGTTCAGGATTTTGGGGTTTTGGGCTTGGGGGCTTTGGGGAGACCTCTTCCTGTCCGAGTTTGGGCGGACGGTCAAGGTTTTCAGGGGTCTCAAGGCTCCATGCTCTTGGAGGTTCAAGGGTACCTATCTTATAACCTACTTGGAAGACTTAGGGGACTTAGGGGGCTCAGAAGTTAAAACAAATGCGGGTTATAAGTGCCCTGACTCCTAAACCCTAAACCCTAAACCCTTGGGTCTTAGTAGGTTCTTCGTCGGGAATGAGGGTGATATATATATATACACTAGGGTTTAGGGTTTAGGGTTGTAGATGTATATATATATATATACCCTTTGAGGGAGTACATGGGTACCTCATTCCCTCATTCCCTACTGGCTTGGGCAGTCTAGCCCCCCCCCCCCCCCCCGAATGCCTGAACCCCCAACCCTTCTACCTCAAAACCCCTAATCCCTGACCCTTGAACCCCTACATAAAACCCTAAGCCCCTAAACCCCTAAACCCCTAGACCCTAAACAACCCTAAACAACCCTATCCAACCCTTAACAACCCTAAACCCCTCCAGACCCCTATAAGCCCCATAGACCCTAAACAACCCTTGAACCCCTATATGAAACCCTAAACCCCTAAACCCCTAAACCCCTAAACCCCTAGACCCCTGTAAGCCCCTGGGACCCTAAACATCCCTAAACCCAAAAAAAAGCGGAGCCACGCCGGGCCGGAGCTTGCTCCGGAAATTGTGGGTTTAGGGTTTAGGGTTTAGGGTTTAGGGTTTAGGGTTTAGCCCTAATCCTCAATCCCTAAACCCTAAACCCTCTACGTCCACAGCCCTAAACATCCCACAGACTCTAACTTCCCTTGAGCCCAGACCTGCCAACCCTTAACCGTTAAATATGTTTAGGGTTTAGGGTTTAGGGTTTAGGGTTTAGGGTGCAGGGTTTCTCCCCCAAGCCTTAAACCCTGAACATCTAGACCCTCAAGCCCCTAAACCTCCAAACCCCTGAACTTCTAAAACCCTCAAGCCCCTAAATCCCCTACAGTGGTACCCTCAACCCCTGAACCCTAAACCCTAAACCCTAATTGGAGCCCCCGACTTCTGGCAATCTGCGGCATGGCGATCGCCGCGCCGTAGACCTGAACTTGGGTGGCTTCCAAGGCGTTTTGGGGGGGTTTTAAGGGTTGGTGGTACCGTTGGACCCTAAACCCTAAACCTTAAACCCTAAACCCTAAACCCTTTTGAAAGATCCCTAATAGGGCCTTAGGGGTACGACTCTTAATCCCTTAAAAAACTGGGCCCTGAATTAACCTCCTACTATTGGGGGGGGGGGGGGGGGAAGCCCATAATCTAGCCCCTTTTCATACTACAATTCAGGGGCAAAGCATACCATCTTTAAAGCCCCCTCTTATTTTCTGTCTTCTGTTCTTATAATCGCTTTGGCTAAGGAGATAAACGATACCCTAAACCCTAAACCCTAAACCCTAAACCCTAAACGTCAAAGGCCAAAATCGAGGCCCGCACAGAGTCGGCTTCGATGGAGCAGTAGCCTTCTCCATCCATCCTCGGCATGGCCGTTGCAGAAGGGTGCTCTTAGGTGGTAAGACTCATAGTCACACTATAACCAATGAAAGTAAGAATACGACAGTAATCAGCATAAGAAAGCCTAAAAAGAACTACAATATGTATATATATATACATAGATACATATATAGTATATATATATATATAAACCGAAAGAAGACCCAGATGCCAAGGGCATCTAGAGCTTGTCGGCATGTCGGCACGCAACTTGAGCAGTGTCAAGGGCCCCCGGCTTCTGCAAGATGGCAAGGGCCTTGCTGGCGGCTACCTGGGGGCGAAGAAGAGACAAACGGGGCCAACCCCTGGGGTTCAAGGTTTAGGGTTTGGGGTTTAGGGTTTAGACACCTTAAACTCAACTGTTCTTAAAATCCCTGGTAGAACAATCCAATCCAACTCCTCCTCGCGAGCGCTCCTAGAAGTTCGACGCACAACTGCGTTCGAAAAGCGCAAGATGATAGCACGTTAGCCATGGAACATGTGGGAAGTGTTCTTAGATCCAACTCTTGTGGAACTTACAGCGACAGAACCTGGGGCTGTCAAGGTCAACGTGGGTAAGCCCGAAATTAAACCCTAAACCCTATAACCTCGAACCCCAAACCTCTAAATCCTATAAGCCCTACACCCTATAGCCTCGAAACCTCTAAACCCGAAACCCACATCCCCAAAACCCGAAATCCCTAAACCCCTAAACCCCGAACCCAAAAACCCAAGTCCCTAAACCGCCTAAACCCTAAATCCCGAAACCCCAAACCCCAAAACCCTAAACCCTAAACTCTATAATCCTCAAACCCGATATAACACCCCTAAACCCTAAAACCCAGTCCCTATAAACTCGAACGGTGGAGCCCTTGCCTTTGGCATGTCTTCTGGCGGTACAAAAGGCGCCGTCGGGACACCTCACAGGGTTCTTGGGCTGAGGAACTGTATAGCGTTTAGGGTTCAGGGTTTACCAGGTTTCGGGGCTTTCGGGGTTAGGGCTAGGGTTTAGGGTGCAGTTGGATAGGGTTGAATGATTAGGCATCGGAAGCATGAAACAGCAACGGGAATCCCAGTGCTGCACGCTGCACACCCTCACGCCCCCAAGCTAGAGATTGTTGCGCCATGTAGGGTTAGGGTTTAGGGTTTAGGGTTTAGGGTTGAAGGTTTTGGGTTTACTAAACCCCAAGCCCACTCCCACCTGGGAACGCACACAAAACCCAAAATAGAGAAGTGGCTTCCCGAAAAAACATGAAGGAGTGTCCAGGGCTAAGGACCCTTATGCATTGGAAGTGGCTGTTTGGGAAACGATAACACACACAAGTTTATAACAACATAGAATAATACATAATACTATGCGAAAGCCGCAGACTGAGACTGAGACTCAGCACAGTCATACGTATAAGAACAATAATAACAATGGCTGTCATAAGAATACCAGAAAAAGCAACGACACAACACAAACACTCTAACGCCTTATGTTGCTTGGGCTCCCAGGTGTGAACCCTGCAACCCCTAGAGCTCTAACCTGGCCCGCCCGGCAATAGCAGCCCAACCGAGACCTCTAAACCCTAAACCCTAAACCCTAAACCCTAAACCCTAAACCCTAAACCCTAAACCCTGATCCCACACTTCGGGCCTTCTCCGGGCTGTGTGGCTTCGTCCGCAACCCGATCTTCCTTCGGCTCGGCATTTTGGGATTAATTGGACTTGGTAGCCCAGTAACCAGGTTTAGGGTTTAGGGTTTAGGGTTCAGGGTTCAGGGTTTAGGGCACCCTTCTTTGGGTTATTTACTTTATAAGGGAACCTTGAACCAACAAAAGGGAGAAGGGCACCACTGGGCTACCAAGTGGATGTAGGGCTTCGGGTCTGGAGCTTCGGGTGAGCGAGCTCCCCCGAAACAGGCCTGCTAAACTGACGCCAAAAACAAACCCCGAATACGACACCACTAGACTATAACATGCACTCTCTACTTTCTACATTGGGCGCCCGTTTTGAGTCCCCAAAAGGGACCCTCCTTTACAGAGCCCATGTGCTTTCTTGGCAGTCTTAAACTTACTTGCGCGATGGGAAGATTGCCCCCTACTCCCTAAACCCTAAACTCGAGACCCTAAACCCTGAAGCCTTCACCCGAAACCCTAAACCCAACCCCTTAAAAGCCTAAACCCCAAACCGTAAACCCTCATCCCCAAACCCCAAACCTCGGCCATTTCGGACAGCGCCATGTAGCCAGCCGACCTGGGCCTGGCGGCGAGTGCGCGCGAGAGAATCGCTTAAAATGAGGGTCCCACGCACCCAAAACTCACCAACAGGATGGGGTTTAGTGTTTAGTGTCTAGTGTCTAGTGTTTAGTGTTTAGGGTTTAGGGCACATTCCCATCCAAAAACAAAAGGGCCTGTTCTCAGGGGTTAGTTATAGGGCACAGTAGCCCATGCTGTAGTTCTAGAATTGGGGAACGAGGAAGCCGCTAGTGTCCTAAATCCTCAACCCGCAAGTGGGACCCCAATGGCTTGTGGGGCCACAGTTCCCTAGTAAGCCTAAACCCTAAACCCTAAACCCTAAACCCTAAACCCTAAACCCTAAACCCTAAACCCTAAACCCTAAACCCTAAACCCTAAACCCTAAACTCAGAACAGGCAAACAAAAAAAGGCGGACTCAAAGGATCAGCAAAGCCGCCCTCTGCATGAGGGGGATTCTCGTTCTCTCAGCTCTCGGGCTGGGTATGCTTTAAAGGATTTATGAGGCTTCGGGTTTAGGGTTTAGGGTTTAGGGTTTAGGGTTTAGGGCTAGAGGGGGTTTATAGGGCATGGGCATGGGCCCCAAAAAGCGGACCCCTTGTAAACCCCCCCCTCTTCCCCTCGCCCCGCACCCGGGACAAACCTCTGCTCGGAGGTTTCTGGGTACGTAAAGGTGTATGGTTATCAGTAGGGCAGCTATGGTTATAACCTTTTGAGGGTTTTAATGACCACCGAAACCCTAAACCGTAAAGCCTACTTATAGGTACCCGTGAACCTTCAACCCTACTTTGGAGTAGACCCTGGAAAAATGTATTATACTGTTACAGGTGTAAGAAGCTATCATACGAAACCAGAACCAAAACAAGTATTACAGTATAGTACTCAAAAGCCCAGTCAAGTAACCCTCTTTTACTATTTGCTTAACCCCAAGAGAATTTAAAAACCTAATCAACCCTATATTACCCTTTCAAGGAAGATTTCTTTTAATTTTTTGGGGTTCTTAAGCAACCCTAAACCCTAAACCCTAAACCCGAAACCCTAGTTTTGGCTTTTTCAGCTCACCCCTGGGAGTCTCAGGTCGTGGCGCGACATCGTCCTTGCGCTGTGCACCTCGGGATGTTGGTGGCTGGGTTGAGGAGTTAGGGTTCAGGGATAGAGTTCAGGGTTTAGGGTTTAGGGTTTAAGGTTTAGGGGTTAGGGTTTAGGGCTTAGGGGACTCCCTGAAGGGCACTGGAGCGTTACCGAAAAGTTGAAGATATCATGGAGTATTGGTTCTGATTGTCGGAAAACGATCATGATTTTTGAGTGCTGCTTCTGCAAGGTGAAAGCCAAATACCGTCAGGAAATTGGAGGCAGACAATTAAGCCATTTAATGTTGTTTGCAAGTGCATCAAAAACAGAATGAACTTGTTCATCATCACATTGGCCCCTGATGACGTAAGAGGAAAGAATGCGGAAATCATACGCAGCCATTCCTGCATTCTGGCAAGTGGTAAGAAAAAGGGCACAAGCCCCGCCTACTTGAATAAAGATAGCAAGAGCCTGCGTCCAAGTTCGCACGGCAATGCTGGCGTCACGTTCGCAAATCGTAGCTCTGGACCAGAACGAATACATAAGTTGAGGTTGAAGTCGTAACCCTGAACCCTAAACCCCAAACCCTGAACCCTAAATCGTGCATTGTGGCACCCCGGCGTTCAAGCAGCGCCGTTCGGGCACAAGGTGGTTTCCATATAAGAGGGGGTAAATGACAATTTGTTGCGGGTAATTTGGGTAGCTTGTAACATGACTACAAAAACCAGGGATTCCTCCGTTTGACTGCCGCGGTGGGCCACTACTGAATTCCTGACAAAGCTGCAACGCTCGGAACCCAACCAACAATTGTGAACCATACATAGCCCACAGCGTCCATCTCTAGTATCCGTATAGAATGAGGCACAGAGAAATCCATTCTAAACAGGGGCTTGGGAGTACCGGAGTACCCAGAACCACATACCCTAATGGCACTAACCCTAAACCCTAAACCCTAAACCCTGAACCCTAAACCCTAAACCCTAAACCCTAAACCCTAAATCCTGCCAATGGGGCCCCATAGAAAAACCCTATCCCAGGAAAAGAGTCATGCCAAGCGACGCTTGGGCTGAGCGGTGATGTTGGGCCGGCCATCAAAGAACTTCATGGCCCCCCGAAGCGCCAGGCGTTCGTGTAGGGGGCGGAGGCCCTTCTTTTGCTTTTTGCTTTTATTTTTTAGGGGTTTAGGGTTTAGGGTTTGGGGTTTAGGGTTTAGGGTGGGCTGAAGTTCCCTGAAGGTGAGGGTCCCGAACATCGTGGGGGAGAGGGGGTTCTCGTCTCGTTGTAAGAACGAGAAGGAGGGTTAGCTAGCTAGGCTTTGCCCGCTGCAGTTATCCTCTTTTAAGGGGCCTTTGCACTCCCGTTGCCCTGTCTCAGAGCTTCGTTATGGGAACACCTGTGGCCTAAACCCTGAACCCTAAACCCTAAACCCTAAAAGCTCAAGTGGTGATAATCTCTCCGAGCCTGGTGCTGGGTGAGCCGCAGATTTCAGGTCTGGATTCTGGCGTCGGGCCTAGAAGGGTCTTGATCACCCCTCTATCCGACCCAACACCCTGAGCCCTTAACCCTATTAGGGTTTAGGGTTTAGGGTTTAGGGTTTAGGGTTTAGCCAAACGGAAGCGCGCTTTGGGAGCGCGCAATAGTCTGCAGACCTACCCACCCCAAGACCGCCCCCTTACAACTCTCAAGGAGTTAACACATTCTTT